CAGACATACACTTGCTACCGGTAGTTCACTGGCTCATACTCTTCGTGTAGTTTCCTACTGAACCACTGAACAAGAACAAACAAGCACCTTGTTCTGTCATTACCACACTAAAGCTGGCTAGACAACAGTCGATTACACAATCAACTTTTGTCGAAGTAGCCAAACTGAAAATTGTTGGCCAAACAGTCGTTGCCGCCAATCAGAGCATTATGGGTTATCCAAACAGAACAGCAGAGACTGTCTGCTTTCTTCTTTTTTTTTTTTGAGTCATGAAGATGGGTCATTCATTTGTATATGTACATTTCAGCTTTAGTTCTCTACGCAACAGGATTTACTGCAAAGTAAAATGAGAAAAGGAGCCTTAGGCATCACCTACTGGACTGAAAGTAAAAATATTAATGTTTAATATATAGCAATCCAAGCTTACATATGTGTCATTTAAAGGAATCCCGTACTGAGAGAAATACGAAGACTGCCATTGCTAACTCCTTGTGAAACTACTACTTTGCTGCTTTTGGCTTCTGTGCTATGAGGCACCGACAGAGCACAATTCAACAGTATTCATATTCAGTAGTATTCATATCCTCTTCTTGGGTTAGATGCTTCACCTCACTGCACACGTGCTGTAATTGTGGCTGAGCCAAGAGTATTGTTGGAGCTAAAAATATATATTATATAATAACGGCACATGCGCAGCAAGGGGAAGAGTCTGACCAAAGAACAGAATATGAATACTTATACAGCTCCTCCCCTTGTACATCAGCCCTCCACCCCTGGGATAGAAGGAAAGGAGCAGCTCTGTATTTGTGGCCACGTGACTCTGTTATCAGACACATGGCTACAAATCCACAATTTAAAAAATAATAAATGTTGTGATTTTAGGAGACATAAGAGCATGCAAAGGGGGTTTATTAGGTACCATTTGCATTACCGAGTATTAAATACCTTTTTATTTACTTTAAACCTACAGATCAGGGAAATTAATGAGAAGTACACTTGTTCCATATTAAACAACAGCTAGCATGACAGCCACGGAACTAGTATATCAGCTATGTCAGTCCTCATATTTCCTTTTCTTTAAAACAGTATCATCCCTTCAATTTTATTTATTTGAAAGGCTGGATTCATTATCATCAGGCATATTTCCTTGCATTAACTCATCCTGGCACACTAGCAAAAAGAGATTTACACACCTGTTTTCATAGTGGGTGTGTATGTGTATTGGCACAGCTTGCTTGCATCAATTCAAAATTCAGGCTGTGTTTATTGCCAAAATACAGGAAACCTATGCAATAGTTTTTTCTTCTGTGACCTTAAGAAACAATACGGGTGCTGCAGCCATATAAACAGTAAATAAACCCAAAATGTATCCTATGCACAGAACATGCCTTTCTCCTTTTATTTGAGTAAATACCAATGTGTTACTGTAATATTTGCTTTTCTAAAGTTTACACCTAGCAAAGCACAATGGACTATAGAGTCGAACACTAACCACTCAGGTTTGTTTTAATCCCACAAAACACCAACTGTTAAGGATGTCTGCACACAGCATTCACCTTTATATTTCGCAGTAATGATATGTCACTTATATACACCATGTGGCCAAATGTTTGACCCGATGATCACATATGTATGTAAGCTTGCCAGACATCTTATTGCCCCGGGATATCACAACCTCCACCCTTTTAGGATAGCTTTCCACAAACATTTTGAGTGCATCTGTGGGTCATTCAGCCCAAAGATCATTTGTGAGGTCAGGTACTGATGGAGGACAAGACCTGGCTGGCACTCAGCATTCCAATACATATTAAAAGGCGTTTGGTAGGGTTTAGGTCAGGGCTCTGTGCGGGCCACCCAAGTCCCTCCACACCTAACTCGTCTAATGACTTAGGTGTGAAGGGATCAGGCTTTGTGCATGTGGACAGTCATGCGGTAACAAAAGGGGCCTTCTCCAAACTATTGCTACAAAGCTGGAACTGAACAATTGTTTAAAATGTCTTTGTATGCTGTAGCAATAACACCTTCACTGTAAACACCCTAACTCAATGAATTGGTTAGTATGTTCAATAGTATTATTGGTCATGTAGTGTATCAGGGCAAGTGACTAAGAAAGTGTTGAAGGCAGAGACAACTGAGCAGGCAGCATATTCAAAAGTCGTCAGGAATTAGACATACTTTGCATGGTTGCCACTTCTAGTCGCGGACTCTATAGTGAGTGCAAAGTTACAACATTACTGAGCCAAGGGCTGCATTATTTATACTGTGGACAAATTCTTCCTGTTTAAATTTTCCTTTACTGCATTTTGCCTTTAAACAAACAAAACAAAAAACAGAACATCACTGACACATTCTGGGCATGTTGCACCTTTTTGGTTTTAGACCAGATATATTACATTTAGCATATTTGGATTGACAGTAAAAATGGCGGCAAAGCAGTGACATCCCCAGTGTTCCATGCACAATTAATCCAGTTGCTAGCCGAGGAACCCCTCACATCTAAGTCTCCGTTCACACCTAGGCGTCAGCGTTTTCGCGCATATAGCACACATTTTCTTGCACACATTTGAAAGTGTACCATCTAGCATGTTTAACGTGGTTCTGCACATTTTTACGCACATTTTATTGAGCAGATTGAAATGCATTGTGGTGAATAAGCAAACGTTTGCACAAACACGCACATAAATGTATAAAACGCATGTGTTTCACGTTTTCATGCGCTTGGATTGAAGTCTATGCAGCCAAACATGCTGTAATCTGCCTCAAAGAAGCTCATGTACCTTTTCCAGCGTTTTACAGCTTGGGACAAAACTCTCAGGTGTGAACAGGAGCCATAGAAATAAATGAGATTTCTTGTGTTGAGAGTTTTGTAGCGCTTAGCTTTGAGCGGCAAAACGCCCAGGTGTGAATAGGGACTTTGAGTTTAAGTCCAGCTCCACCTGAAAGTTTTTGATTCTGTAAAATCTCCTATATTAATATGGCCAACGTTAAAGTATACCTGTCCATGGAGTGTGCATAAATACAGTAAATTTTGTAGTAACCAATGTTAGCACTGAAGAACAGATGTTGGTAAATCTTAGTACGTTTTGTTTGTTAGTTCCAAACGCATTGTATTCATTTTAAAACATTTTCAATAAGGGCATCAAAGTATAACACAAAGGCAGTTACAGACACACGTAACATCATCAGTACAGTAACCACATCATGAACACAAGGTTGCAAAAAACCCGCCGCGTCCCCCAACATAAGAAAAATGAAACGGATGCCTACAAAACCCATAAAACTAAATTAAATGAACCTGCACATCTGGGTAATTGTTCCTTTTAGTGAATTTTTTTTATATGCATAGCGAATGTTCTTTATGCGAACAAACAAATGTTACCTGGTGAGCCCACTCTCTAACCTAAAAATTTAATCGTTAACTGGCAAGCTAAAACTTAAAACCTGTCAGCAGCTGTACTTGTCACTTCCAACTTGTTTATTCATCAATGAATCAGCATCATCATCTGTCATGGGAATGAGGTTGTCGGGACTTGTAAATTAACACGATTTCGCAGAAAGAGCAGATTCACAATGAACTACCGGAGTTGGCGTTTTACTTTGGTCTGGATTACCAAGTTATCACCCATCCTTGTGGACTTCAATATCTGAAAAGAGACGATTACCAGGCCATGAATTTTACATAGTTTATGGAGAAGAACCTGCTGCCACTAGCCGGGTGTCAGGCAAGACTGCATAGAACTGTATCACACCTGGAGACTGAGATGGCTGCCACTGAACTTAGACCCGAGTCGCTTCCATATCCCTGTACCCCAGGATGTTGCTCTTCTATGTGGAAGATAGTTGTGGGGCGGGGGCAAGTGAGGGGTGATTTGCATCCCAACGCTTCCATAGGAATAGGAGTGCTGGATACTAACATTTAGCGGGATTCCCTTACTGCACAGACGTTGCCCAGAAACCCTGGACTGCTATCGCTTGAGCCAGTGTCCAGGGATGATTTCACTTTTTGAACTGTAACATCCAGGTCCTCACAGCTACTGAATAGTACCATGGGATCCCCACAGTTCCCCGGGAAGTACCCCAAAATTGTATCCACTCTGTGGGATAGGAACATGGTGGGATAAATGACTAAACTGTGGTGCTAGGCTGTCTAGTGGTCATAAAGTGATTATGCACTTACATTATTTTTATACTGTACAAAATCTGATAAGTTTAATAAAGCTCACTCTCTCTCAGCTTTACTGCACACCTTGCCTGGTCTGGTGTTTTGGGTAAACATGCTGTAATACACTATGTGGGTGTTCCGGTGAAGAGGGACTTCAGCGACAGCGGTATCTAGTTGGGGTACCAGGGCAGACGTCACATCATCTCTGTCCAATAAGCAGGGAGGATATCCAAAAACTCTAAGGTCTCGTTCACACCTAGGCGTATTGCATATGCGCGACCGTCGCACATTCTTTTTACCGCGATTCGCTGTAAAAAAGCCGCACGTTTCCGAAGGCTACTTGGCTGTATCCCAATGGAAACGCAAAACAAAATGGCCCAAAGTAGTACATGTACCTTTTCAGGCGTGGGCCGTTTTGTAGCGCGTTAGGGACGGGCGGAAATACGCCAAGGTGGGAACGAGACCATTGAATACAATGGGATTTATATTTTTGAGCGTTTTGTAGAGCGTTCGTCGAGCGTAGAACGCGCTACAAAACGTTCAGGTGAGAACGAGGGCTAAATCTGAGCCACAAGTTATACTGTGATCTCTACTGGCTGTGCACTGTTACAGAAATGTGTAAGTCAGTCCTGTACCTCCTATAGTCACTTGGTGTGAAGTTAGCAGCCCAAATTGAAGTAGTTGGTATTAAATTGTTTTTAAAATGTCTGTTTTTACAATTCATTCAGTTACGTGACAACATAACCACATTTAACAATAGAGACACATTTTAATTAATCCATAAAAATACATTTATTTCCAAAATCAGTATGGCAAAAAAACAAATACAATAAAAAGTCTAAACAGAAGAGGGACAAAATACTCTTATTTTTTCTTTGATTTGGACTTTTTCTTGGCTGGAGAGTCCTCTTCGGGAGTAAGATCACACAGAGCATGTTTTATAAATCTCTGTGCAGCTCCTTTGTCAAGTCTGGCAGCTTTCTTGCGATCTGTTATTTCTTTCACTCTGTTCATGTAGCTTCGTATTCTTTCCTGCAATAAAAAAAACAAAGCTTAAATCAAAGTTCAAAACAGATTATTCCAAAATGAGCATCCCTGTAAAACTGTGCAAATCAACCTTCTTCCTAAATGTTTTTTTTAAACATTTTAAGCAACAGACATAATAGTGCCTGTGATCCATATTATTTCAAAAAGAAAATTAATTTTTGGCCTTAATATGCTCATAGTAACAGCATATTTAAAGCATTTATTATCAATAACAAGTGCTAAATTAAAAACAGTTGATAACAAAAAAGGATGTTAAAGTACTAATAAGTAAAGCTTGGTAATAATATTTATATAAAAAAGGCAGTAGGACTACCAAAGCAGAGCAGATAAAGTATATCTATCTGTTAAACAAAACCAGCTGCTGACAAGAATGAAGTACAGGAGCCTACAGTTACACATACCAGCAGCAACTTTTAATGCCCACACTCTTTCCAAATGCTAGGATGTTCTGGTCAGGTAAAGCTTTGTCAATTCCTGGCAGTGACAGAGCTTGCCTGTCCCCTCTCTCCACCAACGCATTTCTAATTGACGGTGAGGCTGTCCATCACAACGATGGGCCAATGGGAATGTAGCTCAGACACTACTGAAAACCTCTACGTGCCTACTCCTGATACCCACCCGCAGTTGTGATTTGTTAAAGTGACAAGGTCACAAAGTTTAATTTGCCTTACATCTTATGCTTCATAACTTTTTTTTATCAAAGTTACTTTTTTGGATCCTGTATAATAAGTGATGTTTGCATTAGTGCATGAATGTTTCCCAATCCTACTTTAATAGTAACTATTTCATTCACCTTTAAGAGATATTGCAGTAAGTGCTGCAAAAGGGGCCCAAACCAAGTACTGAGTACATATGCATGCTTGTACTTTTCAGAGGTCCGATATTGTTCTATGTACAATCCTTGTTTTATTGATTGCATGTAATCTACTTTTTTGAGGTTGTGGATTTGGGGTTCTTGGGGTTTTCATGAGCTGTAAGCCATAATCATCACAATTATGACAAATCACGGCTTGAATTATCTTGCTTTGCACGTAATGAGTATCTCATATATTAGTTTCACCTTTTAAGTTGCATTAGTGAAATAAATTAACTTTGCACGATATTATAATTATTCGAGTTTCACCTGTAAGTGTTTGACTTTAAGATCAACAAAATGCCCATAGGTTAGCATCATAGCGGACCATTAGTAGCTTGAAATGTCAGGAGAGAATAACAAAAGTATTTAAGCTATGAATAGGTTAAATGTATGTATGCAATTATCTTAAAGCCCAACTCTGGGCATTTAAAAATAATGAAAATTTCCCCCTCTGCTCCCAAAAGTCTTTTGCTTGATGGTCCTTCACTGTATGTGATGATCGGTACTGGCAAGACTTGTCAGAAATTGTCAAGAAGAAAGGATATTGGGGACCAGTCACAATTGAGGAGGCAGAGAGGAAGATCATGGAGTAAGGTGAGCAATACTGTGTGCCAACTCTTCCCCTCAAAAAAAAATAATGAGTGGAGAGGGGACAATTTGAATTATGTCTTAACTGCTGGAAGTTAGGTTTTAAATGTGTATGTGACAGATATTTACCTTTTTCCAATTCAACCATTTTAGATTTGAGCTAGTATTATATTTAAACAAAATTAGGCACTATGTCATAGCCCTATGAAAACACAGCAGCCTTTGCTACAAGAACTATAGATCAAAATAAAAGATTCTCTGTGAAAGCAAAGTCAGCCATACTGCTGTTTTTAAGATATTACTAAGCCCAATCCAAGCTAACATTTTAATGACAGTGCTGACAATATAATTTGGAAGAACAAATAAGATAATTAAAAGCTGAACTGTGAGGAAAAGGTAAAATTACTTTATAAAAATGACAACCGATTATGTCACCTCATATAATGCACTAATTTCATATTTTGCTTGGCTCTAATTTTTTGGGGATAATATATAGAATTTTCAGAACCATTATTTTTCCTCTGTGACAAGTATAAAAAAAAATAGAACCAGTTCATTCCAATTTATAATATTTCATATTTGAAGTCGGCGATATGCTTTGATGTTCTCTCTTGGCAAGGAACCTCGAAAAGGAGGCCGTATATATTCAATCTGCTCATTCAACTTAATGGAACAAAAAAGACAAAATGGAGAGATTTATTAGAAGTTGTAAATATGTCACTTATACATGATTACTGGACAGTACACATGCTGCCCATGCCAAAAAAGCTTTTAGCTTTGTTGCAGAACCAAATTCTTTACCGTTGAGAAAATGAATTAATGAGGGAATTGGACAAGGGGTGCAAGCGTGAATGGATGCGTGTGTGCGTAAAAAGCTCTCTACCATCGGGGTCTGCTTTCTCTTCCACACTAGTAAATCACGGCCTGAAATATTTATGGCGTTAAACAGGAATGAAGAAAGCTGATATACGATTTAAGCATTTACACAAAGATCATCTTAATGCAACATTTTTGCATTAATATCTCTTGGGGAAAGTGGAAGAAAAATATTCATACATAGATTCTGAAATTGCCCTTCATTATTGGGCAGATAAGCTGAATGTTGCATTGATATTTTGGGAGATTTTTAGTGACCCAATCTGTCAAAGGAAAGAAACTGCTGTGATCTGTAAAATATAGCAATATTTTATCATATGGGGGCCCAATGGAGAGTAGTGACCATAGCTATGCAACGCCAGATCTAATAGAGTGAAAGATTTCCTATTTGTTCGTTTTTTGAACATTCACAAACACTAAGCACCAGATACTTCTTGTAAGTCATTTTTTTTTCTTCTGGACTGAATTTTTTTTTGGTCTGTTTAGAGGAAACACAATGTAACAGAAAACTATTATGTTGAATATCCAAATGAAAATAGCAAAATATACTATTTTACAACACAGGATAAACCATCTATATGCCATTATGTTTTACAGACATGTTTCAACTGAATAGCTTTTTCTCTGAAATAAAATCTACTGAATGAGATACGATATTTAAAAAGGGACTGCATAGTCAATTGAATGAATAGTAGGAGTTCTCTAATTTTACAAAGGGCACCAGCGCTCATCCAATCAGAGAATAGCTAATATTGATTCATGAAAATGCTGTTTGTTGAATGGCTGCTGTGCAGGACCTGGAAGATTGCTGTAAAGCACTATAGTAGATGCTAATCATGTTTTACAGGTCCCTTGTGGCCATGCCAGGTATATTTTATGTATACTTGGCCAGTACCAAGCTGGACCAATGCAAGTATATATAATGTGAAGAGACCATCCCTCTGAGTTTAAATGCTGACAACTGAGCAAGTCTGCCTGCCAGTTCTCCATGCCTGGGATGCGCATGGCGGACAGCGCTGGACTGTGCAGTTTGGCCCAAACCAGCATATGATCGACTTTTCAAAAAAATCTTGTCCCCTATGATCGACTTTTCTATAAGCTGCGAGACTTCTGATTCCTCCCCGATGGTTGACATAAGTCAGTGTCGTGGTATTGTCCAACTGAATCTTGATCAGATGAACTTGCAGTCTAAAGAGTCTCTCCCATCCTATGGAACTCTCTACCCCAACCTGTCTGTCTATCTCCCACACGGACTGCCTTTAGGCGATCCCTTAAGACTCATCTCTTCAGGGAAGCCTATCCCACCTGAACCTAACCACTGAACATGAACAATCACTTTCTCAAACAATCATCCCCGCACAGCTACCTCCTCATGTATCACTTGCTCCTCACTTTTAGATTGTAAGCCCTCACGGGCAGGGCCCTCCTTACCATCTTGTCTTGAATTGTATTGTGACTGTAATGTCTTCCTTATATTGTAAAGCGCTGTGCAAACTATTGGCGCTATATAAATCCTGTATAATAATAATAATAAAGGTCCAGCAGTGATATAAGGAAAGTCCAGTGCATTTCAGAAGTCAAGTTCAAGCACATGCTATTGCCCATGGTCCTCTGCATAGAACTGCAGGTAAGCGCACATTAGCATGCAGACGTGTATGGACTAGCGTGAAGGTGCACATACATTAGCATACACCTCAAACCGCTTTTATGTAAACAGTTTTGTGATGTGGACAAATTGCTTAGTGGTCTTCAGCTTGTTTCCGAGTACCTGTGACCTGATTTGTTATCCTGCTTACCTGTGAATGACCTGGCCTGCCTTCTGACTTTCTGCCTGTCCATTGTGACCTCAGGCTGCCTACTGGGGAATGAATTCTGCTTTTTGCCCTGTACCTCTTTGACTGACTGTAACCATTCTTGGCTTGTGACCCAGACTATGCTCCTGTTCCAGACTTTGTATTCCGCCGCTCGGCTGTTACCGACTCCAACTTGTGAACCCAACCTAGCTTCTGGTTCCTGACTTGGTACTCCATTGCTCAGCTGTTACCAACCTTGGCTTGTGTTCCGGTTAAAATTTTGTACCTGAAGGAAGGTGTTGAGAACTTTTAGATCCAGAACGAGGTGAATGCCCTCTTTAACTTTGGAAACAGGCTTGCGTAAAAATCCTGGAACCTTTCCTTGTCCAGAACTATGGCTAGGACTCTTTGAGAAAGCAGCTGCACCTGAGCAGCTTAGACATCGGCAAAATTGATAACATGAAGTGGGGCAGAGTTTGAAATTCTAGCTTGTAGCACCTGGAAACCACATTCTGGATCCAAACATGTGAAAGATCAGGGACCAGGTGGCCGCAAAGGCCAAAAGACACCACCACGCCCCCTACTTTGACAAATGGAAGTGCCCTCTTATTGGGACAAGGACTTGCTTGACTTGCAGATAATTTTGGAGTCCAGAATTTACAGTAGAACTGAATCCCAGGCATTCCTTTGGACTTGGCCTAGGAGTTATGAAAGGTTCTCTTCTTAGGCTCTGACGTGGAGGGTTTTCCAGGCTGTAGCTTAGCCCTCTTCATACTGGGGCAAAAGGGTGGGTGCCCTTTTACCTAGTGACATTCATGATAAAGTTGTCCAGGGATTCACCCACCACAGAGGCATTCCCCATCAGGGCATAC